GTGGTTGTTGTTCTTGTTCTTGTTCTTGTTATTCTTCTTCTTCTTCTTGTTCTTCTTCTTCTTGTTGTTGTTGTTGTTGTTGTTGTTGTTGTTGTTGTTCGCGTTGCCCCCGGGTTTAGGGGATCAGCGTGTTGGCTTTCACAAAACAGCTTGAGAAACGAGTCGGTTCTTACTGTGCGACATGCTGCATGCTTGCATCCATATCACGACGCCAACGACGGCTGCGAAGCCTCGTGCAGTCTGCCGGAGCGCATCTGCTTCAGCTAGACTTATTCCTAAGGCTTGGGCAGCAGCCTTTCGTTGTTCGAAGAGAATCTGAATGCTGTGTCGCTTTCTCGGCTTTGCCGCTTATGGCCTGTTGGGTTGCACGCATCCTGCGGTCGCATGCACAGGTGCCGCAGTGCCACAATTTTCTACCAAGATCCTCATCTGCAGATGAAGCGGCCTGGCTGGCCCAGTGTGGGTATCTATTCAATGGTGGTGCCTGAGTTGTCTTGTTTGTCTGACTTCTATAGACGATGATGCTGGACTTGGTGGGCGCGAGGAGATGTGGTAATTAGCCTAGCTTGTTGCGTGCGCAGAAGGTGGTGACGTACAACGGTATTTTTCTCCCTCTCTCCGCCGCACGGCCAATGACTTCCCAGGCAAGCAATGCGTTCGTGGCACAATCACCCCTCCCCTGATCTTTCCCCGCCCATATCCACAAGCTGGGTGGCTACGTCAGTCTGTACGGGGCAAGCAGATTGCGCACAAGGACTGAAAGGTGTAAACTTCGCAACACGTGATGTCGGTTGGTCAAGTCGGTGCTCAATCCATTGGCCCGCGGCCAACTAACAAGTCACCGCAATCGCACAACTACCACTCATCCAGGAACCTCGCTGTCTGCGGCAGGTATCGTCACTGCACAGGAAAACATCATCAAAGCCTTCCCGAACAACGGTACTGTGAACATCTGTGAACATGCGGCAAACCCACCCCTGAACCGCCTCAAGCCCCGAAGCAGCGGCACTCAGAACTGCGGGTCTTTGAGCTCCACCGCACCCCGACGTCCCAAACTGGTCGCACGCCTTGGCTTAGGGCTTGGGGTGGCAAGGATTTCGATTAAGGCATTCTGGCCAGGAAAGCTCCGGAGAGCGCACTTCGTGCCTGCAAAGCTGCTCCCAGCAGTCCGTGACAAGGCTTTCTGCTGCCTCCATCTTTCCTGTCAGCAGTCCGGGCAGCTCGTGCCCAGGACGCCGGCCAAAATTTTGCATTAAGTTCATTGAACTCACACCGCAGACCCTAAGAACCGCAATGCCGGAAAAGCAGTAACAACAGTATTACAAGTAACGACCAGACCAGCCGGAACTGTAGCCACTGCGAACTGAGACAAGCTGGGGATTCGGATTGATGTCGCCCAGGCCTTCCAGAAGTTCGCGCAGCCCCTGGCTACACTCTGTTTCTTGGTGACGGCCCAGAGCATGCATAGGTGGATAAGGGAGCCCAGTTCAGCCGGTCGACTGCCCAGCGAGGTCTCGCTGCACTGTTTAGCGAATCTCGGCACTCCCATGCAGCTTCAATTCCCACGCACTTGCCAAGTCAACATGCAACTCCACTGGCCCATGAGCATTTCCCACTTCTGCATTGAGTAAAACATCGTGGCAAGACCCTCTTCTTCTCTGCGAATGACACCTGCATGAGGACAGCAGCAACTCAGATGATAACAAACAGTGAGAGCTTGGCGCCACCGCAGGACACATGAGCGACACATGCGGTACAAACACGCAGCCAAGCAATCATTTAGCAAAACCAGCGCTCTTCACTGACATTGCAACTTGCGAGCTGCACTGCATAAAACGCTCTCGAGGCATTCCGATGCGTATTTTTCTGACTGCTACATACACATGGATGGATTGATGGCTGGATGGATGGAGACAGATGGATGGATAGATGGATGGATAGATAGATACAACGATAGACAAATAGGAAGGTAGGAAGGTATGCAGGTAGCTAGCTAGCTAGCCAGCTAGCTAGATCGATAGATAACTAGATAGATAGGTAGATAGATAGGTAGACAGAAAGATAGATAGATAGATAGATAGATAGATAGACAGATAGATAGATAGATAGATAGACAGATAGACAGAGAGACAGAGAGAGACATACAACAATCGCTTCCGAAGCGTCAAACCATTGCTCCCAAAGAGCACCCTGGAAGCAGCTCTGTTCGTGCCGTGTTGGAGATATACCATACTACCGAAACCTTCCTTGGTTTGTTGGCGTGTGCAGGAGCTCTGCACTCAAAACGCTTTCGCCGCCTCGATGACATCTGACACCTCCATACGCTCCTCCAGCACCTGACAGGATCCCCCGACTTCAGGCAAAAGATATAAAGGATGGAAGAAAGCGAAACAGAGAGAAGAGAGAGAGGGACAGAGAGAGACATGGGGAGGAGGGTCCGGGCAGGGAGTTGGAGAGAAGAAGTGTTGAAAGAGAGACAGCGAGAGAAGGAGAGGACTGAAAGAGAGAGAGAGAGAGGGGGAGAGTGACTGAGAAAACAACAAAAGACAGTGAGCAAAAATGGAGAGGAACGAGAAAACAAGCAAGCATGACAGAGTAGAGCAAAAGAGAGGAAAGACAAAGAAAGAGAAGGCGGGAGAGAGACTGAGAGACAAAGGACAGAGATCGAGAAAACCTAAGCGAGACGTAGGAGACGGAGAGAGAGAGCGAGAGAAGGCAAGGATACAGCATCAAATTGCAAGTTCACCCAAAAAACAAAATGGAGCCAAACCTTGATAAGCCTTCGAAGCGCAACAACCTTCTAGCCGCTGTCGATACCTCATCACTGGTAGCAAGTCGATCGACCAAGCCGCGCTCCTGTCGATGTTGGTTGCCACTTGAGTTGGGGCTTGAGCTCTCCTTGAGCTCTCAGCCCTTTTGCTTCGCTCGGGTGTCTTGCACGGGAACCCAGAAGTCAAGCTGCCCCAAGATAACGGTATGACGACTTGTGCAGCTCCACCTTTGAAAAGCTCAGTTGCTTATACCCTCCTCGTGTGCCTGAGGGCTTGCAAAAACGCCACTGAAGTCTCCGTGCGATGAGACGCTCTCTATCCTTGAAGAGGCTGCCACGGCCTCGGCCTCTTGTTTTTGCTACGTTCATCCTGCAATCGACTTCCGACTCAGCAGCATCCGGCCTCAAACTGAAAGCTCCTCTCTGCAAACTCCGAAGGTTTTTGAATGCGCAGCACACAGTGTTCCCGGTTCCCAAACCAAGGCAGCAGCACAAAGCTGATCAGCAAGTGATGTTGATGATGGCAGCTGGGTAGCGGCGATACTAGGTATACTATATACATACAAGAGGCATGAGTAGAACCGAGATTTCTGAGAACTCTGTTCATACCTGCTCTGGCTGCTGGGGCTAACCCCTCTTCCTTCATTGGGCTTGGGGACTGTTGAGGTCCCCCGGCCTGGTGGCCCCCATGTGCTATGGGGCCTTGAGGGGCCATGAAAAGTTCTGCCACATTGATGTCGCTGGTGGCTCATGTTTGGTACGATATCTTGTCCCACTACGGTATGATATCTGCGAACAGAGAGTAGCTGTACTCTCTCTTGCTTGCGCGGGGTCTGGGGGCCAAGACTCCCGGGCCCGAAGGCCAGCCCCCTCAAGGTGCGCGTCGGTTCGGCTGAGAGGCCCTTTCCGCGGTTGGAAACAGTCTGCGCCTGGATCCCCATCTCCCAAGGAATACCCCTCCTAAACCATGATCATAGTAACCAGGCAGGCGGCACACGGTCATCCAGGTGTTCCCCAGATACAGCTACAGGTGGAAGCTTGCAGTCACGACAAGCAGTGCCAACTTCAACTTAAAACGCTCCCTCTCTCTCTGTCTCTTTACTCTGTCTCTCTCTCTCTCTCTCTCTTTCTTTCTTTCTTTCATAGGGCATAGGGGGTTGGTCGGACCCCCTGGCCTTGTGGCCCCCCACATGTTATGGGGCGGCAGGGGTACAAGTAGCTGAGGGTATGATGCTCTCTCTCTCTCTCTCTATCTGTCTCTCCCTCTTGCTTGCTTCTCTCTCTCGCCAATTCACTCAGTCACCTGTCAGGCCCCCGTTTTTTTGAGGAGTGGCTGCAGTGCACGTGCACTCATGCCCGCCTGCCCTCGTGTCTGAAGACTCCAAGCTCATGTGCTTGGCCCATCCAAGGCTCAGGCTCCATGTCAGGCCCCTAAACTTTAAAATATTAAGCCTGGAGCACTATAAGCCCTACACACGACTCCTGAACCCTTAACATCCCTTAACCGTAAACCCGAAAGAGACTGACTTTCCTTGGGGCTCCTTCCCCTCGGCACCAAGGAAGGCCTCTCCTGTTGCGACCTTCCGTCCAAGCATGGAGGTGTTGCAAGGTTCAGTGCCTATTATGGCATGGTTTTCGGATTTAGGTTTACGGCGTAGGTTTACGGGGGTTAAGTGCTTGAGGGTGCTGCTGGTTTCAAAAACACCAGATGCTCAACCTCACATGGTGAGGCCTCTTTGCAAAGTGCAAAATAACAGATGACTAGCCAGAGCGAGAGCAACACAATAGACCTACAGTAGTAGACCTGATGATACACAGTAGGTGGTAGTGTGATGTCCGCTCTAAATTTGAAAGGGGCGCAGCACGCCCCCAAGCCTCGTCCATATCCAGATGCGTCCGCTGCTGTAGAACCATCCCTTTGAAGGCATCGTGGATTGTGTTGATCTCCTGCAGAAGGACAAGCATTTCGACTCGGTCACCACAGGTCCGAAAAGACTGTGAAAATCAACAGGCATGACCGATGACCCTAGGACCGAAGGAGATGTGCAGCAAATTTGCCATTCGAGCGCGGCAGCTGGTCCTGCTTCATCTTTTCGATCCCCTCTTCTGTCGGCTCTGACCTTGTCTGTTGGACAGTTAGGGAAAGCAGGGAATCTGAAGCAGGGAAGGAACATTGACCTAGTGCCAAAGAGCCTGTGCTAGGCAAACATGCGCGCAAGCGAAGTACAAGAAAGACTCCGGGAGGCTCTTGTACTGCCAAGATGTGACGAAGATGTGTCAAGTCAGCGCTCCCTGCTGTGCTTGGCCCTTCCCCCAAGCAGGTCTTTGCTTGCAAGAGATCAAGTACTGAGGATGAAACACACATTATACAATGTTGCCTTATGCGAATCTGCCGGTCGAACGACCCGGTGTGAAAATTTACCCGAGCAGGGTGAGCGCCAAGAGGCAAAGGGTCTACGGTTCGCTTGTAGCGCCCACCAGTGAATTGAAGCCAATCCACCTCGTACCTGTCATGGGCAGTGCTGGCTACACATCGAGCTTGCCGTGCAATTGAAACCCTGCTTGGCACAGGGTCTCAAGATATGAGCCGCTAGTATCCGCTAGTGCAACACTTGCTCATTGGGTTTCTTCGGTTCAGAGAGTACTGTGCCTGATCTTCTGCAAATCCCCGTGCAAGTGCCTCCGCAAGACTTTGTTGAAGTTGGGAAGGGCAGCCAGCACACCTCAGCTGCTACAGTCTCCAAACTATCAATACAATGTCACTACAACTACGGTCAAAGGTGCGCTTAAAATATACGATGCTGCTTCTTTGCTTCTTACTGTATTGTGGCGGGGTCCCCCTGCAAAGCATGGCAGCTCCCGGAGGTATCACCAATGGCAGGTCTCTTTTTTCCGTCATGTTACGTACGAGTTATATAAGACTCCACATTTTTTATTATTCTTCAATGAGGGTTTTGGGATAGCAGGGATCCGAACAAAAACATCTATCGCCCTTGGCGAAGGGGCGGCTTTACTCATCAGGGGCCTGCATTACGAGCTGCCGATAGAGCCCACGAGCGAGAAAGGTGTGGCGACGATGGTGTCGGCCTGAGCTGACGATGTGGGCAGGGCGTTTAGCCTCGCTAGGACTATATGTCCAGGAGTGCAAGCTACATGCGCTCGGGCATTGCACCAAACTAGCTCCCCGAGGTGCAACCGGCTAGCTGACCTCTGCCTGGGTGCCTGGGTTGAGGGTTTCGGGTTTGCAGGGTTTCGGGTGGCGGAGCAGCTCAGCCACATAAGATGCTACAGCTGCTAAAGGCGGCACGATCCTGCAGGCTGCCAACACATACCACCGTTGGCAGGCATCGCAACAGCCGGCGGGAAGCGAATTTAGAACATTGCGCGGCCTTCGAGGCGGAAGTGGAACAACTGAGGCAGGTGCCGTGCAAGCCATCCTTGGCACTGCCCGGGGTCAAAGAAGGGACTTTCAACACCAAAGTCAATAGCAAAGCCCTTCCAAACGACCCGTTTTGTTGTCGGGTGTGGGGCTGTGGGAAGTCATTAACCAGTTATTAATCATTGGCAACCCGCAGGTTGCTCCTGTTAAAATCCAAACGGATGCGCGATAGCTGCAGGGGAAAGATTGCAAAATGCACGTGTTGCCTCAACTTAGCTGTTATGTCGCCGACAAAGTCCATGTCTTGCAGGCTATATCACCATCGCCCAAATCATCAGTTACGTCATTATAACCAACAGCAGCAACCATCCTCTCACGTGCATCCGAATCCGCACAATCACCGCGATCATCTAAGTCATCTCGCCCACCGCCGATAATGCACGCATGCCGCATGCATTAGTCATCCTCATCCCTCTCATTTGCAGGAGCAGTAGCAAGAACAGGAAGCGCTTCTGCCCTTATCTTCGTGCTTGTCACCCGCACCACTAGGACCTAGGAACTTCGGAACACCGACCGGGTGTGACTCTTGGATTGCATATTGGCCATGATCACCCTTTTGCTCCACACTATGTCGAGGCTTATCGTGCTTTTCGTCCAGTTGCTGCTGCCAAGGAGCATGTACCCGCCTGATGCAGCTACCTGCTGCATCTTACGAAACAGGAAGAACAAAAAGAGACAGCAGGGAAGGCAACCACGGTGCATTCATGCGCTGCGTGTGCAGATGTTGCCTCAAGCATTGGTTCGGGCATGCCAACTGCCGATGCTCTGGTGCCAGTCCGTGCCGCACATCCGACGAGGCACTCTTAGCAACTATAGCGGCCAGTGGGTCTAGGATTTTCGGAATCGTCGTCTGCGCATCTTCCGCCTTTGCACGTGTAGTTTCGCGGGCACCAAGATTTTGCGCATCTTCGGAAAGGAGCGTGCGGCACACTATGAGGTCCTCAAGTGGCAACCTTCGGCTCAAGAAGGAAAGCCCTCAGACGCAAACTCCCCTTGCCGGGTAACGACTGTAATACACAAGCTCAACCCTCTGCCGCTTCGAACTTTGCGACGGGAACAACGGAAATGTAACCCTAAACCCTTTTTGCAACAGGCTTCGTACTTCGCCTGGAGTCGGCCGCCGCTGAAGCCCAGCAGCTTTATTGCTGGACAAGACGCCCCACACACACTCACACCCTAAACCCTAAACCCCAAACCCTAAAGCCTAAACCCTAAACCCTAAGCCTTGTCCACACACGCAGTGAGCTTCAGCCTGGCGACATGGACATCGTCTCTGCCAAAGGCTCACTACCGAGGCCCTCTTTTGACACATCTTCGTGCCGGGTTCGTCGGGAATTAAGCTAGCTTATGGGGTGTGGGTGACGAGGCGATTAGGGAAGCTAGCTCATTCCACCTCTGTTCTCGCTGGAAGCATTGGCATGCAACGAGATGTGCGACTTTTCAAACGAAAACCCAAAAGCAACTGTGCATGGCACTTCCGATGTATCCCTATGTCTACAAAGTAAGTAAACGGAAGGGACTGTTTGGATTGCTGCCAGCACTGCAGCGGATGGACAGAAGTTGGAAAAAACGAAAAACCGATGAGGATCTCTGGGAATTGCTTCCGGAGCCTGCGCATGCATACCAATCCGACGCACTGAATCAAAATCCGGAAGCTTGCCAGGCCGGCCCGCGCTGACGCAGCCGCATGAGCCTGATCTCTGCTCCGGGTCGCACTCACCCTTCAAACTGAGGAGAGTGAGGAGGGGTGGCTTCGGATGGATGGTCAGAAACATAATGGGAGGCGAGAGTCTGCGCAGAGGCGAAGCCATAGTCGATGACGGCACCACCCGGCGAAGTTATGCGCACCACAGCCTGCAAAAAGCAAATGGCTCGCGGGCTCGTTATGTGTGTGGGTGTGTTTCCGTGTGTGCACGTTCTGGAAACACGCGCTGCACCTCTCCAACGTCGCAAAACAAATCGGCCTCATCATGCTCGGTCGCGCAGTGCAAGACAAACGAGACGATATCCTGGAAGTCCTTCACCACATGCGCTCGTGGTCTAGGCCACTGGTTCCCAACTTTCTTACGAAACGCTGGACCGGAATATTCGCAACTGACAGGCTTGACCTTCACTCTGGTGCACCTGTTGATAAATGTTGCAGCTGTTGTATGTCTGTCACTGGAGATTGGAAGCTATATTTCGCCCCTGTCTTCGATTCGGCTCGAACGTCGCCTTTTTTGTTAAGCCTGTGGGATTCCTCACCCACACCATGGAAGGAAGTCGCCATATCGTCTGCTGAGGGTTCCTTATGCTATAGTTGTGGCAGTTATGGAATGCTGTAGCCCCAAACCCTTCATCTGGCTATTATGTACTTTCGGTCAACAGAACCTAGCAATCTTCAAATAGCAGTCTTCTAACACTCCTCTGAGAGCGGAACCTCCAACTCTAGATGGGTCGGAATGCTGGCGGAATCACTAGTGATACTGTCCCCGTGCGGTCCCCAATGAATTACAGTACAACTCGAATTCAATCTTGCGACATTCAGTGTCTTGTCGGCATTCTTGCTAGTAGCACCACTGTTAGACTACAGTAGCAGCAGCTTCAGCATCATATTCAGGTCCGATTCTGCCAGCGAACCGCCATCACCCCCGCCACGGCCTTGTCATTGCTGTCGTTGCATGCATCTTCAGCACTTCGAGCAGCATCAAAATCGTCACCATCCTCGTTAATGTCAGCATCCCCAACAACATCTGCATACCAATAACCATCGCCGGCGCAAGCCTCATCCTCATGCTTGTGGCAGTTGCAGTCGCTATAACGACCGTCTTCACCGTCGCCGTGGAATACATTAGGGCACCCTCGTCGTTATAACAACTGCCTGCGTTTGTTGGCTGCTCGGTTTTGTCCACCGAAATCCATCATGCAGTGACACATCAAGGCACTCTGCACCTCCAAGCGCTTCTTCATGTTCTTGCTGCCGGGGACTCCTTCACAAATCGGGAAAGTAGTATCACCAACAAGCGGGAGCCTCAGAAAATCATGTACCATTATGCAGACATCAACGGATCCTGGTCATAAGGACCCAAAGCGTTAGTGAACAAAAAGGTACCCCAGACTTAACACACCGCACCTGTTTACAAGCCTCCTACTATGGCTGCAACCATCGTCGCAACCACCAGCCACAACAAGTCCCGAGCAGCAACTGGATCAGCAGAGACGGCAAATGGTGGTAGACGCAGTCAGAACACAAGACAACGATGTTCATCTTCTTTCCCGCTTCAAGCTACGAAGCCTCAGAACCTGAAAATCAAAGCGATCCTAACTAGCAAACTAGCTAACCATTCTACATGGTTAGCCGGCTGGGCTAGCCATCTTGGGCCGAACCGTTGATCGAGAGTGTTCGTCTCAAAGCCACCACAACCACGCAGTCATGTCATCTATGCGCACTTAACCGTAAACACGTAGCCCAAAGCCTTGAGCTATTACGGAGAAGCCCCCGGCCTGCATCCAGGCTGCCAGAGGAGAAATCGAAGACAAACGTGCGAGGTCGGAGACGCGCCTGTCACGCTAGAAGCTGATCTATGCATTGCGTGCAATGCCACAAGATCGGCTTTGCCGACCCAGGCACGGCATCAGATGAAATCTGGAGGGGTTATACACAAACTCGCGCACACTCGGTGCCCTTGAAGAACCCAAAGTGCCAAAGCCGTCGCAGTCCTCACTTTACTTGAGCCTACGGTTCCGGTCTCGTTCACGAGCCTTTCTGAGGCTGCTGCTGCTATTACTACTAGTTACTACTACTCCTCCCACTGGCAGGCGAGTACCACGACTTCTGCAACTTCTATGGCGCGACATGTCATTGCAGCGGTGCGGAATTTCAGCCAGAAATTTGAAAATCGATGAAATAACATGTCGGTACGGACCCCCCCCCCCCCTCACCCCCCACCCAGGCGTAGAGAGGGAGGTCCAAACACGAGCTTGTCGTCTAGCAGTCCATGTGCTCCTCGGGACGCCAAAGATTCTCCCAATCCCGCAATTCAGGCCAAACCATATCAAACTCTGAAAACCTTGCTCCCGACTTGAACCCGATGCCAGTGTGGCGCCTGAATGGCTGCTGCATCCTCACCCGCCTGATGCAGCGGCATCGATAGTCAAATTGCGGGGCACGAAGAAGCGCATTGACAATGGCAGACCGGCCGACAAACACGGCTTGGAGCTACAAAACACTGCCGTGCCGAATGACATGATGATGGAATATGATAGCGAGGCAGCAAATGTTTAGGTGTAATTATATGGGCGTGCGTGTATTTATATATATATATATACACATAATGCAACAAATAGTATGACTGCAAGCATCGATCTCGGGACAATAAAAGACATCGAGCTTGGTGAGCATGCTTCCACGGAAGCAAAGCCCAACTCCTGGTTTGGACTGCCGAGGGCAGTGAAGCAGTATGCGGGTGGTCGGTTTGCGGGTGCGGCACGAAAGTCATGAGTATGTGGGCCAACTTGAAAATCAGTCTAAGCGAACCTGACATGCGGTAGATCAAATGCCCAGCTGCTTTCCGAGAGGTTACCTCGTGTCTTACAGGCCCGATAAAATTAGCCCGGCGCCTTAGCAGGCCAAAGGTTTCTACATGGACTGCTGCTTGACTGTAACGGAATGGACCTATCGGTATATGAGCCCAGCTCAAAGACCCCCAGGCAGTCCGAATTCCGGGGCCGCCGCCTTCAAGGCTTCCTTCACATCCTCGCTCTGCTTCTTCACCGCCTCCTTTAGCAGCTGCTGTTCCTGGCCCCAGGCTTGATTGAGCTAAATAATTCAAAAATACGTACATGTATGTATATAGAGATACAAGTACAACACACACACATGTGTGTATCTACGTGTATGTGTGAATATACATAATATATATATACATATATATAATATATATATATATATACATATATATATATATATGTATCTCTGTGCGCGTGCTTATCCAGGCCTGGACCTTCAACCCAGAAACCCCCAGAGTTGGTAGCAGCGCCTTCTTCTCAGCTTGTGCAGCGGCCTCTCGGTTGCAGCGAGGGAGACGCTGAAACTGGGATTCAAACTTAATGTTGTAGGATAAACTATCTGCTTTCAATTTCCCTCCCGCAGAGTAAGAACGGATTCAAAGTTACTGTTGTAGGATAAACTATCTGCTTTTAATTTAGAGAGGATTCAAAGTTGATTGTTGTAGGATAAACTATAACGTGGTATCAGATAATAGATGCTAAAGCAGTATAATTATATAATGGAAGATCACATTATACGACTCATAATAATAATCGTGTATTGGTGTACTGATACGGTACACTAGTATATGAAGCCTACGGGACCCCAAGCCTCGAAGTCTCGGACTAAGCCAGGATTCCGCTGGCCTGTCTGGATATCACTTGCACCTTCTTGAAATGTTGTGTCACCCTGGAAACCACACGCCTACCTGCAGCTTGAAAAGTTTTAGGCCGCTAAAAGCATCCGTTCCCCCGAGTTGGTGTAATATGCGGGAACCAACAAAGCCACACTATCAACATGACCACAATCAGGATGGTCAAGGCCAAGTTGATGACTATGCCACTGACGACCATGCTCACTGGGAAGATTGCAATGATGATGAAGTATGAGCACGTTCACTCTGGCAGCGTGGCTTTCTGCCTTTAAGCAGTGTCGCGTCCTTGAAATTTGAAAAAGTTGGTGGGGTGAGGCCCGAGATGTGGACATGCATTGACAAGGGGAATTCTGCCACACTGTCTTGGACAGCTGCGGGCTGGAGAATTCGCACGGGTGAATTAATAAGGCTCGAGCCGGTAGGACAGATTCTTACCCATCTCGAGCAAAATGTCGTGGAGGTGTGAGAACTGGTCTCCCACATACCTTGCCGGCAGGTCTTGTGATGGTTTCAGGTGCTGCTATATTGATACAGTGACAAATCGTTATGCACTCGCCGACGTGCTGCGGTACTTCCGATACGGCAGGAATGTCTAATGGTTAAGACGGCCACTCGAAAACGGACAGGACATGACAGGAGGTAACAAGCATAATCAGCATCAGGAAAGGAGCGTCCTAACTCAACCGGTATTTCTTCCACCCGAGAAAGCATATGGGTTCTTAGATGATTGGGCTGCATCCGCCTAGCATCTGCTTGGCTATGTCCAAGTTTTGCCAATCGACCTTCTGAGAGTGACGAGGTCCTTGACTGTGGTCTGGTTTGACCCACGGAGCAGCAGGATGCTTTCCTCGCAGGGGGCATCCACAAGTCCGAGATGCCCATACCCTCAGAGACCCGGCGTTCACACCGCTAGGTTTGGTGACCCTGTCCAGGAACTCGCCGAATGTGAGTGGCTGGCCATCTTCCATGAGCAGCTTGCCGTACTCCTGGCTTGCCCAGGATGAGCTTGCCTTTGTTAGGCCCACAAAGGGAAACAGTTCACTGGTCGTTCAGTTGGAGTGCGCTCTCTAGGTGACCCGTATATAGACCACATCATGTGTCGAGGCCGCTGAGCCTACCACTCGTAGTGGCGACTATAGCTCGGGAACTGTGCACTGAGGTTTATCAGCTTCGCAGTTGAGCCCTCTAAGTTGTGAGGAAAGACACCGGGGATGGGGTTGAGGGCTCATGGGCAGTATCACTTTAGCTAGGCCTCATCATACTCACAGTCAAACTTGATAATATTTCTCAGGACTCTTGAGTTTACAACCTGGCAGCAAGTGCCTCTGCACCTTGTCGGCAGGCTGCTGTGGATTAACCACTGGGTGTTTCGAGTCCCGGTGCAGGGTATAGGCCGAACTGATGGCAAGGATTAAGCCTAGAAGCAAAGCTATGGTTTTCACCTCGCCATGGATTGCCATGCATCTTTCGAGTGGTTACCGTACCTTCGCAACCCTGCCCTTTGAGAGTCACTGGTAGAGAAGGACAAGGCAAAAAGATACCCAGCTCCTTGGCGGCCACATGATCCACACCGAGCTGGACCAAACCTTTAATCGCCTCCGGTCGCTCCAGCATGCTGAAGAACTCCTGGCGATCAAACTCGTTGACATGGAAGTCGAGCAACAATTCCGCTCTTGCCCGCACCCAACACCTCACAGGTGCCTCTCACCCTAGCATTGCCGCTGGGGCATGCGCTGCGAGCCATATGAGCAAAGTAAGCGAGTGCACGCCGCTAGACAGTCGTCTTCAGAAGCACCCTGGTTGCATACATATGTTGCTCGATAGGGCATAAAAAGCTGTGATGCTGCTGCTCGCCGACATTCGAATAAACAGCCAGATGATTAAGCTGATATCTCCTTTGCAATTCATGCCCCTGCTACTGTTCTTCTCCTCCTGCTCCACCTGCTGTTGCTACTACAAGAGCCATTTACTACTGTATCACGACTACGCCGACGACGACGACGACGACTTCTACTATCGCTCTTTTGCACTTCTTCTTCGTCTTCTTCTGCTGCGCTTGTACTTCCTGATCCCGTCAGTAAGTGTCCACGCGCCTGCTCCTCCTGTTGCTGCTCAGCTACAAGCACAGACGTGCAAACTCTATAAGTAAAGCCGCTCCATGCTCGGAATACCAATGAGAGATTTAAGATGAGGCGGGGTCGCTCTTTTGGGGTGGAGTAGCCAGGAGCTTAGGAGCTTACTCCAGGCTTTTGCCCCGGTCTACATCATCCCCTTGCTTTACCTTGGCATCCGTCTGTTACGAACATACGCATAGTGGCAGCAATATCAGATGAGGGTCAAACAAGGCCAATGCACTAAGGACGATGGCTGCAACCGCGAATGGCCTAGCCCACCAAAAAATCGGATACATGATCAATGCGAAGAGACGCTGTCTTCCTTGCAAGCCTCGAGTGTTGCACCGAACAAACCCAAGCGTCCTCCTGTGTCAGGATGCTGCCCTCGGCCTGCGTGGTCTCGTCGCAAAGTATTTCACGGAGGAGACGCTTCCTGACGAGACTCTCTCCAAGCTTGGTTTATCTTCTCACAGTGAAAACCGGGGGTTTCGTGCATTCTTGGTTTATATTGGACTGTCTTAGGTTACGTCACGTGTAAGAAACCACGCCGCGCATTTCAAACATAACTTGCTGCAGCTTTTAGGCAGGGACCCTCGCTTTGAACGGCCCGTAAACAAGGTACCACAAACACCACCACATACATGGTGCCGCCGAGCTTCGCGAAGGCAATCTGAATAGCTTCGTGCTCCACATCCGAAACGGTCTGAACGGCTTCCACTAAGACACCGATCAGCATGTTGATCACGATGAGTGACGAGACCAGGATGAACACCACCACAAGCATGCCCATAAACCAGCCTCCATTCTGAGAGACCTTCTGGAAGAAGGCCTCCTGGTCTGGCATCACGCACTGCACGATCAATGTCAGCACCGTGGCTGGAACCGATGGAAACAGCTCTGATTCCAAGAAGAGGTTATCTTGCGCGAGCTGTCTGAAAGCAATGCTGAAGATGTAGGTGATGAGCAAGAGGAGCACGAAAGTGAAGAAGACCGACCGGGAGGCGACTGTCAGTCCCTTGATGATGATCATCACTTCCGGCATGTAGCTTGCGACACGAATTACGCGCGTGATCCGCACCAGCCGCAGCATGCGAAGGAAAGAGGCATCTCCGATACCACCACCGGAATCCGAGGAGCCTCCACTTGTTAAGCCTATCACCGGAATGAGCCATATCTCGACAATCATGAGCATGACCAGAAGGACGTCAAAAAGGAACCAGCGGTCACGACAGGCCCGCCTTGTTGACGCATAGGACAGATACCTCATCACTACCTCTCCACCAAAATAGGCCAGGAAGAGAAGCTCAACAACAATGAAGAGTGGATCCGCCTCCAGCACAGTTAGAGCATCGTTGAACTCGAGGTCCAAGGCAATCCAGATCGCGTTTAGACACGTTATGGCGAGGCTCAAGGTTTCGAAGTGGGGGCTCCGGACCACTTTTAAGAGCATGGGCCACCGCCTCTCGTGCCTTCGGGGAGAGGCGGAATGCAAGTAAATAACAGCTTCTATAACTCGTTAAACAGAATTACGTTGCAGGTATATTCAAATTATCATGGAGAAAGTTGGGAGATGAAAAAGGTACGTAGACTAAGGCAGCCATGTTGACTAGTTGCCTATCTTGTTCTTGCAGCTCCATGTTCTCGTTGCCGAACTCGTTAATCGATATCTCTCGCAGCCGCTCCACCGCATAGTCTTTGTTCAGCTGTAGGAACGAGGCCCTGGAGGGTTCAGAATTTCAGGACTCCAGTAGGGCTTCAATCATAGTAGCAATATTAACTTTCAGTAATCAGAACGATGATGATCGTAATACTTGTTATGATTATAACAATGATCATAAACTCAGCAAAAAAAAAAGAAAACATGTGTAATAGCAGTAAGAATGAAAAGAAGACGAACAGCGTTAGCAACAATGACTTGATGTTATTATCAATAAGAATAACAAGTATTATTATGATAACACATGATATTCCATGGTTTGGGCTTCTTGGTCACACGACGAGGTGATGGCTTAAGGTCGGTTGATCTGCGGCTGCAATGCCCATCTTGCACTGCACATGTAGACAGGAACGCCAACTCCGTTACCCTGTCCCTCCTGGCGGTCTTCTTCAACGGCTCCTCTTGGTTCTGCCTTCTGGCTAAGAGGGAGGGGCGGCTCGAAAAGCGAGATGGTCGAGCGATGGATGGCTGGTCTACCTGCAGAGGGCAAGCTTCAACCAACAAAACCGAAAAACCTGTTCCAAACATTCCCGAACTTTTTGGCTTGCCCTTTAACGCTGTGACAGTCGTCGCTTTTCGACATAGACCCGTCATGGTGTCGCAACGGTTCCAAAAGCAACACGGATGGGCTGAGGGCTGGCTTGGAGCCTTGCAGCTGGTGTGGTTTCCGGATCGTATATTACGGGGACCTCGGATACGGGAACCTGTGGCAGTATTATGGCCCTTTGCAGTTGTTCGACTTAGGTGTTTTGAATGCAGTCGTATCGGAAGTCTTCAGGGAAGATGGGACATGATGCCGTTCTTGTTGGAATCATCAAATTCAAGTAATTCTCATGTGACGTAGGCTTGCCTGTCGTCCTAGATCACCGCCTCGCTGCATTGGACCCCACGCCAACATCGGCACTGTAAACGACATGCCTATGGCAAGAACGAAAAAGCGCTTCTCACCTTAACGCTGGTCGCACCTCGTCGTCTGAGCTGAGCTCCTCGTCGCCCTCACTGATGGACCCTGGGAGGAAAAGGCCTGGAGAGATCGTCAGTCTAGCTGTACTTCTACTTTTACTTCTACTGCTACTGCCGCCACAACCATCACCACCACCACCACGACTGCCACACCGCTACTGCTGCTGCTGCTGCTGCTACTACTGCTGCTGCTGCCGCTGC